TTTTCCACAAGGCAGTTGATATGGGGACTCTGCCGGGCACTGAGGCTGCATTTCTTTTTACTTTGAAAATTGAGCTTAGACGTAGGGGTTTTCCAGATGACATCTTTGATAAGGCCCTGGTCAATTTTAACGTTAAGATTGGCGGGTCCTGGAAAAATTGGGCTCGATGTTTTACGAATTGGATCTGGGATTATCGGACCCCTTTTATTCGGGACCAAAACCAGGAACCGGGTCAGCATTTGGTCCGATCCGTTTTGTAGTTCGCTTTGCTGTAGAAGTATTTAGCCTCTCTTTTGCTTACCAATTGTCACCAGCGCTACCCCTGACGATGGCTGGTACACTGGCGGACCGGCCGAAACAGCTGTAGGGTAATCGCCGGTTGCACTTTATGTCGCGGTGCTTGCACCGCTTTTTGGCGTTCTAAGCGCCTTTTGGTCAGCTATTTTTTGCAATATCATACGAGCTGACACGCTCGGGGGACTTTGCGTATTCCATTTTTCATATCCTCTTTCTTTGTCTCTTCTCTGTCTTCCCTCCCTCTTACTTCATCATCGCATTCAGATCGGCCCTGTTTTATTTGGCCTATTGTCGTGTGAGTCTAATGTTGTAACGACTTTCTTCTCACCACACTCACAGTGGTGCTTCCCCATCTGTATCTACCCTCACTGATGGCTACAACTATGATTGTTTTTTATTTCTTTTTCTACATGAATTTCGTTCCAAGAGTGGTCAGATACATTCTTCAAAGTAGCAGTGTGAGTATGGCCTTCCTCATGGCCTTCCCGGACATCAGCATGAAAACAAAAGAAAACAACAAGGATTTCGGCATCATTGTGCCCTAATAGTGGTCGCATACATTCTGCAAAGTAATAGTGTGAGCATGGCCTTCCTCACAGGCTTCCCCACATCATGTCCTTCGAAGTACTACTTCCATTCTTTTTTCTTTTCTCCGGACGAGCGTTCGACATGGCAGCCTGAAATGGTACCAAAAGGCAGCCCAAGTTTCAACTGCTTTTTTAAACTTGGGCCCTGATTGAACTGCTAAGACGCAGTTTCAACTTTCAAATGTATTTACAAACTATTTTCGTGACTGCGCCATAGTTACCCCCCCCCCAAAAAAAAGGGTTGTCGGGTTTTGAAAGCCGTACAACCCCCTTTTTTTTTCTTTTTCTTTTTTGATTTCCACACTGCAGTGTTGTATTAAAAACAATTAGAAAACGAAAAAAACAGTATTATAATCAAAAGAGAAGTAATAAAAAATCCCCATTTTTTTGTGATTGCTGGTGGGATAAACATGTTGCACTTTTCTTTTTTCTAAATTTCTGCAAAGATAAAAGGGAGAAAAGATTAAAAAACACAAAAAAGCCAAAAACGTTCTTTCCCCCTTCCTTTTTTTTGCTTTCGAGACACACACATACTGATCGACGGATTCGTTGATTGATTGATTGACACAAAAAAAAGCAAAAGCATGCGTGTGTGTGCGTGTGTGTGCGTGTGTGTGTGTGTT